TTATATATTTGGGTTTTTTGTATACAAGTTTTCCAAAAGTTCTAGACCCAAAAATTATTATCTTTAATTTATGCTCATTTCTGGTATAAAAATTTAAAGCCAGTAAACAGTTATTTCAAAAATATTTTCCTCTATGAAATATTTGAATGATTTTTTTTCATTCAGTTTTGTCAATAATATTTTCCAATTAACACCCATATTGCAGTATTTATTTTATGTCACCGAGTTAATTGCCTTTAAATTTTTCAAACATATGGTAACACTGCACAAAAATCAATTTTCAAAGAAATCGGCGATTTTTTAAAAGAAATTAAATACATATTTTTAAAATTTAATACGAAGTTAAATCAAAATTATTTAATTTCCACTTTGTTGGTACAAGTTCAGAGCTATATGGTGGATGCAGCAACATTCCACAGCCAAACTCTCTCAGTTTTTGGCGAGTGAGCGAATATGTGTGCGGTCTAGCATTGTGCTGATGGCATATGACTCCTTTACGATGGACCAATTCTGGTCGCTTCTCGTTGATGAATTCATACCATAAATCATTTTGCAAAGTTGTTCACAGTAGACATTCAGATTAATGTTTTGGTTCCTTGGAAGCATATCAAAATATACCACACCCTTACAATCCGACCAAACTAACAGCCTAATATTCTTTTGGTGAATATCAGCCTACGAAGTGATTTGTGGCGCTTCAACATGCTTGCACCATGTTCGCTTTCGATCGACGTTATAGTAAACAATCAATTTTTTAACTCCAGTTATGATCTGCTTCAAAGCGCATCGTATTCATTGCGTTTAAGATGAATGTCACAAGCGTTGATGCGGTTGTTAAATAAATTACCTTCAACTCTTGCGGAACCCAAATTTCAAATTTTTTTTACCAGTCCAAGACGTCGTATATGATTATGAACAATTGATTTTGGTATACTGAACTTTGTTCCAATCTTACGTTGAGTAACATGACGATCTGATACGATTAAAGCCTTGATATCGTCAACATAAACTTCACTTGGCAGACCTGAACGAGTGTAAACGAACGGAATTTGACAAACCAACTTCAACACGGTGTTTCTTTTAATGCCTCATCACCATACAAATTATGCAACTTTTTATCTAAAACAAGCTAAAAGAGACAGCTTCTAACTGTCAAAAGAAAAAATGCAATTAAATAGTCACAAGCTGTTCGAAAAAATTGTCAACACCGTCTGTATGAAAAATCACCGGTTCCTTTTGTGGCAACCCAATATATTGTAAAAAATTCGAATTTATTATTTACCTGTTCAAAAAAATAATTTTTTTTGTAAGCTCTGTTAACTCTATGTTATATGTTTTTACAACGAATAAATAAAGAAGAAGACATACCAGTATTTATTTAGGAATATCTTGCCTACAACACGAATACCATTTCTTTTGAAGTAACTGGCACTCGATAACTGTTCAGCTTTTATTTTAATTTTTTATTTTATTGTTGCTTTTCCAATATTGGACTGATATTAAATGTTTTCCTCATTTTCCGGAAAAATTAATAAATTTTAAATGGGAGAGTCTCCAAGCATGCGTGGGGTATTTTACCTTAATTTGCATTTAAAATTATTATGAATATTGATAACAGAACCTAATAACTCAGGTTTTTAACTAGACTTCTTGGGATATTATTAATTTATTTTTTTTTTTAATAAATTCAAAAATTTTTTTTATTGAAATGTTTCGAAAAAATGAAATTTATTGTGAATATTGAAATTATGAAAATTAAAAATCTGTTAAAAATAACTTAATGTAAAACTGAAAACATTTTCCCACGCAGACTAAAAACCGCTAAACCGGTTCATTATCACAATTCTTACATATTTTCCCACTCAACCATACACTACACGTTTACATGCATATAAATATCTAAAAATAGCATATTCTAATCATAATTTCCTCCGCACAATCGTAAGTTATAAATCAAATTCACTACATTAATTTCAAAATGTCAAACGACTACAAGCAACTGCACAAACGGCAGAGAACACAAAAGCTGCTCGAAAACTAGCAAAGCAACAAACATACCACACCAGCATATGTATGTTTATGAGCTTATGAAAAATGTATATTTACCATTGTTGGCAACAACGCTGCAGCCGCCGCCACCTCCGCCTCCGCCACTAATGCTCCTGCTGCTGCTGCTGCTGTTGATGCATGAGGTGTCAATTGCGGGTGTCAAATGTTGCTGTCAACACGCCAACAGCTTTGTGTGGCAACCGGCAAGCGTAACAGCGTGTGTGTGTGTGTGTGCGCCATTGCAGCTACATTGTTCAAAATCATAACTGATTACATGCAATTTGCGCTAGAAAAAATGTGCTTAAATAAATATTGACTTTAATTTTTAATTTTTTTTTCTTTCCGCTGCTTTCATTATTTATGCTTAGGTGAGTATGAAAAGGCAAGCAAATGTGCTTACAAAGAAATATATATGTACGTACCATGTTTATATGTATATTTGTTTGGTTGAGCTGTTTGTGCGAGAAAAAGTTGAAATAAGTAAAATAAAAATATATTGCTGTGCGCAATTTAAATGAAAACTGTAATTAAATATATCTAATGAATGCAGCTCGACAGCAGCGGCAGAGCAGACAATGTTGGTGGCAGGTAGCGTTGAGCAGCTGCTTTATTTTATTTTTATCATTGTTTGCTATCTGAATTTTCGCAATTTATTTTTTTGTTTTTTTATACGTTTTTGTTTTTTTTGTTGTTTTTCTGCACTGCAAGTAAGCGGGTTTTAGTTCTTTAGTTTTTTCTTAATTATTTACTGCTGTTGCTGCTTAACGCAAATTTGCTAGGTAGCAACACGCTGGTCGATCTGTCTAGTCCTTCTGTCTGGCGTCGCATGCCATGCTTGAGCAAGGCGTCTCAAGGTCTTTGCATTCGCTATCGCCCACCACACCAAGTCGCCAACAAATGGGTAAATGTTGCAAATGTTGTGCGCCTGGTAACAAACTTGTTGGCTGTTGCAAGGGAAATAAATAAGTAGAAATATTGAATGATATGAATTAAAATAAAAGAAATTAAAATACCACGAAAAAAAATTGCATTAATAAGACTAAAAAAATAATAAAATCAAATATTAAAAATTTAAACTAAATTAAAATATTATAATATTGTATATTGAAATAAAATAAGATAAGACTAAATAAAATAAATGATATAAAATAAAGTAAACTATGCTTCATCAAAATAAAATAAAAAGTAAAATGATATAAACAAAAAAATGATATAACAAAAATAATAATAAATAATAAAAGAAATAATACAAAACAAATTAAGATAAAATGATTTTTTTATTTATTTAAATAAAGTATTGAATTAACCTTAATTGCAAAAATTGAAAGAAATTGAAACGAAAATGATTAAATTAAATAAATAAAATGGTGAAGTAAATAAAATGTAATATACTGAGCTGAAATAAACAAAAATAATATACAAGACAACAAAAAATAATAAAAGAATGTATTGAATTGAAATAAACTTAATTAAATTAAATAATTTTGAATTTCCATTTATGAGAAATAATTAAAATAAATTAAATGAAAACATAAACTAATACAAAAATATGCAGAAGCAAATCACAAAATTAAGTAAAATTACATCAAATTCAGTTAAAAAAAACTTAATAAAATTAAATTTAATTAAATAAATCATTTAACAGATTTAGTTAAATTAAATAGTTTAAAAAAAATAAAATTAATTTAATAGAATAAAATCATATTAAATACAATATACAGTATAGTGAACAAACACTAAATAAATTAAAATGAAAATATATAAATTCAAATAAAAATATAAAAATCAAATTAAAATAAAATAAATAAGAAATTATATAAGAACGAATTTAGAAAAATAATTTTTTAACATAAACTTAATAAGTCATTTTAAAAAGTTTTATTGCATACAATTTGAAATTAAATTAAATGAATATTAAATAAAATTAAAAGAAATACTAAAAGTCAATTGGAACTAAAAAATTATGTTCAGTACAAAAACATTAAATTAACCACCATCAAAATACAATGACAAAAAGAATATATAACCAAGTAACATAAAAAATTATTAAAATTAAAATAAATAAAATAAAACAAAATAAAAAAGAATTACAACAATACAGTAAACAAGGATAATATAAAAAGTAATAACAACATTATTATTATAATATATTTATATATAATAATAATAAAAAAAACTAAAATAATAATATGTAATGAAAAATAAATAATAAATAATAAATAATAAATAATAAATAATAAATAATAAATAATAAATAATAAATAATAAATAATAAATAATAAATAATATATAATAAATAATAAATAATAAATAATAAATAATAAATAATAAATAATAAATAATAAATAATAAATAATAAATAATAAATAATAAATAATAAATAATGAATTATAAATAATAAATAATAGTTAATTAATAATAAATAATAAATAATAAAAAACAAATAACTAATAAACAATAAATAATAAATAAATAATAATTAATAATAAATAATAATTAATAAATAATAAATAATAAATAATAAATAATAACTAATAAATAATATATAACAAAAAAATAAATAGTGTATAATAAATAATTAAAAATAAATAAATAATAATAAAATGAAGATTAAACTAGAAAGAAGAAAATAAATTAAAGATAAATAAAATAAGTGAAACTAACTAATGCACATCAATTAAAATGAAAGCAATAATAAATAATTAAAAAAAAAAAATAAATAAAAAAATATGGAAAAATTTGGAAAATATAAAACAGAAAAAAAAAGATTAAAAATTCTTTTGAATATTTTTTATTGATTACTTATTTAATAAACAAAATAATTAAGGTCTTTATTTAATCCTCTTGTTCTTATTTTCTGTTTATCTATCAATTTAAATTTAAGAACTTAGTATTTAAAATTTATCAAATTCAATTTCTACAATTTTATTCTTTTTTTTATATTTGCAGGTCGTATTTTATTAATAGCGATTGGCATTTCGTTAAGCGTCGCATGCATCAGTGTTTTAATAGTTGCCATAAATTGTTATCGTGTCACGGCGTTGAAACGTCGTGCCACTGTCGCTCTAACATTACCAATTCCACTGTTGCCCGAAGATCAAACACTTCTGCACACTGAGCCGGACAATCCTGTACCCGTAAGTTTGATGAATTTTTCAATAACAATACTTAAACTAAATAAAATGAAAATAGAGTATATATCTATATATACAAGTGGCGCTTTGTAACCGCTGAAGCGATTTTCCTCCGAGCACCTCCAATTTGGGGTTCGCGTTGATATTCCCTGCCGTGGGGCGACCGCAATTAGAACATTTAGCTTAATTTTTTATTTCAATTAATTTTCTATAACTTTTGGATGTTGGTCGCACGGTGATTTGAACCCGAGCCTTCCGAATAGCAGTACGCAATTTTATCCACTCGGCCACCGCGGCCGCGTATAAGGATCATAAATAATTGCTAGGAAGTTAGAAATTCGTTTTTATTATTGTACTTGAAGAAAAAAAGTTATTTTCTTTTAAATTTCGCATAAAATAAGTTTTTTTAGATTAACTGACAAGTGAAATTTTGCTTCAAAATTTCGTAAGAAAAAATCTAGCCCGAAATTACGAATATTGTATTGGTTTTACTATTTCTGGGTTGGCACGGCGTATACGTAACTCACTCGTGTAGCGAAAAAATTTCATGATATTCTAAATTTCTTGCCGATTAATCATTGTAATGTCATAAATAAGTAGAAATTTTAAAAAGTGTTCACCATGAGAAAATCGAGTTTATTATCAAATATCAAATATAATTATTCAATTTAAATTCATCTTCACATACTAGGAAACCTTGCGCTCTATAAACAGAACACCTAATGGTCAATAAAACATATTCCAGTCTACAAATTATGTAGCAATTAAGCCCGAAAAGGCAAAAATTGTTATTAAATTACAACTTGTCCGTAAATATAATGCAAATTCCTTAGCAACAAAAGGCCTACATATGTATGTGGGATCCTATTAAATGCATCCCTGGACTATTTTTGACGACAACACTGACGAGATGAAGCGTGCACTATAACGGACACTATAACGGACGATGAAAAAAGAGCAACGGTTCTAATTTGAAAATGAGTCAGTCTAGGAAAAGTATTTGAACAAAGCACACTTAATTCTAAAATATAAAATAAGTTAACCATCAAATGTGAATTTTACTTTGTATTTCTAAAATAATAATTACAATAAATGTGTTTGTTAAAGTTAAGCGTTATTTAAAAATGTTAATTAAACAATAAAATATGAATTAAATAATGAACATGTGAATTAAAATGAACTAAAAGTATCGATCTATTTATTTAAACTGCGCCAAGGGTAGGTAATATCTAACTGAAATGACTAAGAACCCTACAAATGGTGTCAGAAGTGATTAAAATATTTTGAAGTGCGGAAAAAATGCGTTTAAATTAACAATACGCAGTGTAAAATATATGAATTAAGGCGCAAGTGCAAAATTCTTAAGAAGGGCAGCGAAGCCCTAGCGCTCCAAATACAAAAGAGAAAAATACTTGTATGCAAATATGGTGAGGTTAGAACCAATTGAATTGGTTGTGTAGAAACGCATATGTGCGAAAAAGAAAAACGAAACTTTAGAAGCAACAGTGTGAGATGCAAAGGCATCGTAGATAGAGAAGGAAAAAGAGAAGAAGAGAGTGTGGTTGAATATCGTGCGATATCACGAACAATAAAAATATTTTGCCCAATAAGGCAGTGTAACAAAACCAACAAGTGTTGAGACAATTTTTTGAGACGAAGTGAGAGAGAATACAAGAAATATTACCTACAGCAATGTGAAGGATGCAGAGGCATCATATGTAACGAAAGAGTGGTGTAAAATCGTGCGTTATCACGAACACTAAAAATATTTTGCCAAATAAGGCAGTGTGGTAAGAAAAAGAACAAAGTAATAAGAAAAGGCGAAGTCAAATTTAAAGAATTGTGGAAAAGGCAGCGCAGTAGCGTCAACAGCAAAGTGGTGAGAAATTGTGTCGTGGGATCGGTCGCATTGAGATGGTGGTGTTTTGCACGACGAAGTGGTAAGCAGAGGTGAAGGCAGAGTGTGCGCAACAGTGGAATTACACAGAACAAAACAAACAGCAAATAAATATCGGACAATCATAACACATTGGATAGGAGTATTTGTACGGAGTGCAGTCTTATTAAGCTAAGTAGATGTAGATATTTGTAAAAGTTTTGAAAGGCATTTAAATTGATTTTATAATCATTTATAATTTTGTACAAAATTTTAATTACCTTTTCGAGTTTCATTGTTTAGTATTTTAAATATTAAGGTGGTTATTGATAAGATTAAAATGGATAAACTAACAATTTTAAAGTTAAGCAAGGCTGAACTACAAGATGAACTGTCGAAACTAGGTTTGCATACTGTTGGACTGAAAACTGACTTACAAAATAGATTACTGGAACATTTTGGGATGACTGTCGATGCCGACGATGACTCGGTCTATGATGAAGCTCAGGAATCTATCGGAAATGTAGTGAGAGAACCAAGATCTATTTTCACGTTAAGGGATATAGAGGATTCTCTTGTTTCATTCACTGGGAATGGTCAACCAACTGTTGAGAAATGGCTAGAAATTTTTGAGGAAAATGCGATGGCCGTAAGTTGGAATAGTTTACAAAAGTTTATATATTCAAAGCAGTTACTTAAAGGAGCTGCGAAGATTTTCATTCGAAGTCAATCTGGTGTAACGAACTGGGTGGATCTTAAACGAGCACTGCTTGATGAATTTGGGGTTCAATATTCCGCTATTGAGGTGCATCGTCAACTTAGAAATCGACGGAAACGAGACAATGAAGATATGCGAGAATACTTATATTCATTGAAGGAAATAGGAAAACCTATTAATCTTGATGAGAGAAGTTTAATTGAATATTTCATAGAAGGGATACCAGACACAAGAATAGGTAAATGTAATCTCTATCAGGCCAAAACATTGCGTGATTTAAAAGAGCAAATAGATATTTATGAAAAAATTAAAAGTAGGAAACCAACGACAGCAATAAATATAGGACAAAAAACAACCACCACCATTTCCAATAATACATCAATATCGGCACCTAGGAAATGTTTTTCATGTGGTGAATCTTCTCATTTGGCAAGAAGCTGTCCAAAAAATATAAGATGTTTTAAATGCAATCAACTAGGTCATCGGGCTGCACAATGCTCCACAGAAAACCCACTCATTAAAGTGGGAAAGAGTAATGTGAACACAATGGGTAACAAAGAATTTCAGTGGTCAGGTATGGGGAAAAATCTGCTTTTTAAAGATATTAAATTAAATAATTATATATATCCGGGTCTAATTGATACAGGTTGTGAGGTTTGCCTTATAAGAGACGATATTTTACACAAGGTAGGCAATTTCAAATTGAACGCAGATAAGCGCCAATTAGTTGGAATTGGTGAAAGTGAACTTACGACCCTAGGTAGTTTTGCACACAATATATACGTGGACGATATAGAAATAGAAGTTAATTTTCATGTAACGCGTTCAACAGACATCCGTTTCGCTGTAGTAATTGGTAGTAGTGTCTTAAATCAGGTTGATTTGTTTGTAACCAAAGACGGAGTTAAGTTTCATCGTAAGAATAAAGGATTAGTTTTAGCTAAAACAGACTCACCAGTTGAGCCAGATACTTGTAATGTGGATAAGTTTAACAGCGAAAAGCAGAAAGAAAATAACGCATCCCAGTTGATACATGAATTTAAAGATATTTGCATGATGGCGGGAACAGATACAGAAAGTAAAATTCAAATAGAATTAACGTATCTAAATCAGAATTTGGCAGCCAGGGTTAATCATATTATAGATAGTTATAATCCAATAAAGGGTGCAAAATCACCAGTAGAAATGAAAATTTTGTTGATTGATGAACAGCCAGTATACGAGCGTCCAAGAAGAGTGCCACATGCGGACAAAGCATTTATTGAAGAGCAAGTGTCAGAATGGTTACGTGATGGAATAATTCAACCTAGCGTTTCAGAATACGCATCCCCAGTAGTGTTAGTGTCTAAAAAAGATGGAAGCAAAAGATTGTGTTGCGATTATCGACGTTTAAATCAAAAAATTGTTAGAGATAATTTTCCCATGCCCCTTATAGACGACGTGCTTGACAGACTTCAAAGCGCCAAGGTGTTTACAACTCTGGATTTAAGGAATGGGTTTTTCCATGTGCCGCTTGCATCTGAGCACCGAAAATATACGTCTTTTGTCACTCATTCTGGTCAGTATGAATTTTTGTTTGTACCCTTTGGAATATCCAATTCCCCAGCAGTTTTTACAAGATTTATTACTGCAGTATTTAGAGAATTGATTAACAACGGCACTGTAATTACTTATATGGATGATCTCATAATTCCAGCAGAGGACGAGATAGAAGGTCTAGGAAAATTAGAACAAGTATTGGAAGTGGCTGCAAAGAACAACTTAAGTGTAAAATGGAGCAAATGTCAATTTTTAAGACGAAAAGTTACCTTTTTGGGTTATGTTATAGAAAATAGTAGGATTAGACCGTCAGAAGGAAAAATCAGTGCGGTAAACAATTTTCCACTTCCTACGGATAAAAAATCTTTACAACGGTTTCTTGGTCTTACTTCTTATTTTAGAAGATTTGTCGAAGGGTATGCAGTAGTAGCTAAACCACTGTCAGACCTTTTGCGTAAGGATAACAAATTCGTTTTACAAGAAGAACAGTTGGCATCTTTCCAACAATTAAAAATTGCTTTGGTTAATGCACCTGTACTAAATTTGTATAATCCAAAGGCAGTCACAGAAGTACACACTGACGCATGTAAGTTTGGATATGGAGCTGTACTTTTGCAAAAGAATTTTGATGACCAAGAGCTTCATCCTATTCAATATATGAGTAGGAGAACGAAGCCAAATGAGGAATTATTTCACTCGTACGAGCTGGAAGCGTTAGCAGTAGTAGAGGCTGTAAAAAAGTGGAGAACTTATTTATTGGGTATTAAATTTAAAATCATTACTGATTGTAATGCGTTTGCATTAACATTGCGTAAACGAGAGGTTCCGCCAAGAGTTTCTCGATGGGCATTATTTCTACAAGATTATGAT